GGGAGGAGAGATGGAGGGTCGGGAGGAGGGATTGGGAGCAGGGAGGAGGGACTGGGAGTCGGGAGGAGGGATTGAGGGTCGGGAGGAGGGTTCGAGAACCGGGAGGAGGGATCGAGAGTCGGGAGGAGGGATCGGGAGTCGGGAGGAGGGATTGAGGGCCGGGAGGAGGGATCGAGAGTGGGGAGGAGGGATCGAGGGTAGGGAGGAGGGATTGAGGGAGGGATTGAGGGTCAGGAGGAGGGATTGAGGGTCGGGAGGAGGGATTGGGAGTCGGGAGGAGGGATTGAGGTTCGGGAGGAGGGATTGAGGGTCGGGAGGAGGGATTGGGGGTCGGGAGGAGGGATCGGGAGGAGGGAGGAGGGATTGAGGGAGGGATTGAGGGAGGGAGGAGGGATGGGGAGCTCGGAGGAGGGAGGATTGGGAAGCAGATGGAGGGAGACGGAGGCCGGAGGAGGGAGGGATGGGGAAGGGGATGGAGATGGAGGCGGCGGATGGGGGGCTCCGCGTGGGGCCGGGGGCACCCGAGGGACCCCGTGTGGGGCGGGCTGAGAACGGACCCAACTCGGCGCAGGGGGAGGACGCACTCACCTGTGAAGGGGCGACGGACTGCGGGGATGGGGAGAGAAGGGAGGGGAAACTGAGGCACCACGTGGGGACCCGGCCTGTCACCCGGGTGTCCCCACCCCGGAGATGCCCCATGGGGACCCCTGGACACCTCCAACCTCATGAAGGTCCCATGGGGACCCTGGACACCACCGACCCCATGGGATGCCCCATGGGTTCCCCAGATACCTCCATTCCCAGAGATGCCCCATGGGGACCCCTGGACACCTCCAACCTCATGAAGGTCCCATGGGGACCCTGGACACCACCGACCCCATGGGATGCCCCATGGGTTCCCCAGATACCTCCATTCCCAGAGATGTCCCATGGGGACCCCTGGACACCTCCAACCTCATGAAGGTCCCATGGGTTCCCTGGACACCACCGACCCCATGGGATGCCCCATGGGTTCCCCAGATACCTCCATTCCCAGAGATGTCCTGTGGAGCCCCAAGACTCCCCTAACCCCAGAGATGTCCCATGGATTCCCCAGACACCTCCAACCCCAGAGATGTCCTATGGAGACCCCTGGGCATCTCCGACCCCATAAAGGTCCCATGGGTTCCCTGGATACCTCCAATCCCAGAGATGCCCCATGGGGACCCCTGGACATCTCCGACCTCATGAAGGTCCCATGGGTTCCCTGGACACCACCGACCCCATGGGATGCCCCATGG